CAGTGTTTATGGTGAAGGGGGTTCCACTGGGCTCTCTGCCGTTTCGGAGGGAGGTTGTTTGTACCGATGCATATGGATTGTTCATAACGAACAACATGTTCAAGCATAAGGGTGTCCATATGTGCTCTTGGCACCAGGACACCCTAGGCCGCAGTTCGATGATAGACTTTGTCGTCGTCTCATCTGATCTGCGGCCACATGTCTTGGACACTCAGTGAAGAGAGGGGTGGAGCTCTCTACTGATCACTACATGGTGGTGAGTTGGCTCCAATGGTGGGGGAGGATGCCGGTCAGACCTGGCAGGCCCAAACGTATTGTGAGAGTTTGCTGGGAACGTCTGGCAGAGTCTCCTGTGAGACGAAGCTTTAACTCCCACCTCCGGGATAACTTGAACATGTTCCGGGGGAGGTGGGGGACATTGAATCCGAGTGGGCCATGTTCCGTGCATCTATTGTCGAGACGGCTTACCGGAGCTGCGGCTGCAAGGTTGTCGGTGCCTGTTGTGGCAGCAACCCTCGAACCCGGTGGTGGACACCGGCAGTGAGGGATGCTGTCAGGCTGAAGAAGGAGTCCTATCAGGCCTTTTTGGTCTGTGGGACCCTGGAAGCAGCTGATGGGTACCGGCAGGCCAAGCGACATGCAACTCAGGTGGTCCCTGAGGCAAAAACTTGGGCATGGGAGGAGTTCAGAGAGGCCATGGAGAATGACTTCCGCATGGCTTTGAGGCGATTCTGGTCCACCATCCAGCATCTCAGGGAAGACCTCCTCAATCCCACCGGCATGTCTTCCACTGAGGAAGCGGAGCCTGGGGACTCTGGGTCGGGCCCTCCAATCTCTGGTGCTGAGGTCACCAAGGTGGGTAAAAAGCTCCTCGGTGGCAGGGCCCCAGGGGTGGATGAGATTCGCCCAGAGTTCCTTAAGGCTCTGGATGTTGTAGGGTTGTGTTGGCTTACACGACTCTGCAATATTGCGTGGACATCGGGGGAAGTTCCCTGGATTGGCAGACCGGGGTGGTGGTCCCCCTATTCAAAAAGGGGGACCGTAGAGTGTGTTCCAACTACAAGGGGATCACGCTCTTAAGCCTCTCTGATAAGGTCTATTCAGGGGTTCTGGAGAGGAGGGTCCGTCGGATAGTCTAACCTCAGATTCAGGAGGAGCAGGACAGAATATCTAGGCGCAGCCAAGGTGTTGAGGGGATCTGTTTTGGGGGCCTTAGGATTACGTCTTTGCTTTTTGCAGATGATGTGGTCCTATTGGCTTCATCAGATCGTGATCTACAGCTTTCGCTGGAGCGGTTCGCAGCAGAGTGCGACGCGGCCGGGATGAAGATCAGTTCCTCCAAATTCGAGGTCATGGTCTTGAGCCAGAAAAGGGTAGAGTGCCCTCTCCAGGTCAGGGAGGAGGTCCTGCCCCAAGTGGAGGAGTTCAAGTATCTTGGGGTCTTGTTTACGAATGAGGGAAAAATGGAACGTGTGATCGATAGGCGGATAGGTGCAGCATCTGCAGTGAAGCGGGCGCTGTACAGGTCTGTCGTGGTGAAGAGAGCCGAGTAAAAATGCGAAGCTCTCAATTTACCGATCGATCTACGTTCCTACCCTCATCTATGGTCATGAGCTTTGGGTTGTGACCGAAAGAACAAGATCTCGGATACAAGTGGCCAAAATGAGTTTTCTCCGCAGGGTGTCTGGGCTTTCCCTTAGAAATAGGGTGAGAAGCTCGATCATCCGAGAGTGACTCAGAGTAGAGCCGCTGCTTCTCCACGTCGCGAGGAGACAGTTGAGGTGGCTCGGGCATCTGGTTAAGATGCCTCCTGGATGCCTCCCTGGTGAAGTGTTCCGGACACGTCCCACCGGGAGGAGACCCAGAGGAAGACCCAGGATACGCTGGAGGGACTATGTTTCTCGGCTGGCCTGGGAACGCCTCGGGATTCCCCTGGAGGAGCTGGCCCAAATGGCTGGGGAGAAGGAAGTCTGGGCCTCCCTACTTAAGCTGCTACCCCCGCAACCCGACCCCGGATAAGCGGAAGAAAATGGATGGATGGATGGATGGATGGTAGTTACAGCCATAACTTTCGTTTCATTCCTTCAATATTCTGTGGAAGCAGCTAAGTGGATTAAGTTTTTCACACACAGCAGTTCCATTTTGGTTTTGTTTAATACACTAAATAAAGGCACAATATGTTGTGTTTAGTACGTTTCAAATTAAGTTTGAATCACTTTAGAAACCGGTAAAGAGCAGACCATATTTATTTTATTACATTGTGATTTGTAAAACCCGCAAACTTTCTTTTCCCCACGACTGTAGATTTGATCACACAGCTGTCTCAAAAAGACATTCACTGTCCTCAATGCATTGTCCTCTGCAGCAGGGTGACAGACCCACATCAGCAGCGGTTTAAAACAACAATAAAACAAAATGTGGAATACAAAGAGTGCGTGCACTGTACACGGTTTGGAAACATAAAATGCTCCTGAGAAACACAAGTCTGGTTCAAACCCAAACTTTTCATCTAATTTATTTTTAACAGAAGTAAAAACTATTTTAAAAACAAACGACCTTTTGAATTATTTTGGGGGAAAAAAATCAAATGAAGAATTTTGATGTAAACCTTTGCAGAAATAAAATAATTACACACCACAAAAACAAAATTGAATCACAGTGTGATAAATGTCACTGTGAAAGAGACCATCCACACACATCTAATACCAACTGGCGCCATCTGATGGTTCAAAACGGCAACTCCAAAAGTTAAAGAAGCAGTCGTCCTCCTATCAGAGTTGGGAGTTCGATTCCTTCACTATGCAATCACATGTAGTGTACCTGGAGAAGACACTGAACCCCTCACTGCCTCTGATGTGTGTCCCATTGGTGTATGAATGAATGTGATTTACAGCTCTGATTATTCTCAGATTGTTTGTAGAGATCTAGTAGAGTGCTGTATGAATGTGTGTGTGGAGGTAAATGAGGGCACAGAATGTGTTGTAAAACTCTCGAGTATCTGGGTCGGATAGAAAAGTGCTATATCAGTACAGTCTCTTTACTATTTAAAGATATTTACAATCATTTGGTGTATGTAAACCTTTCAGCACAGAAACTATTCCATTAAGACTAACCAACATCTGGAGTTAAATTGTTCTTTCGGCTGCTAACAGCTGCAGGGGTTGCCACAGTGAGCAAAGCTGCATGAAAGATTTGGCTAATGTTTACACTGGATGCTCTTCTTGTTCAAAACTGCAGCTTTAGGATTACATTTGAAGTTAAGTATTGCTTCCAAAAACTAACAAGAATGCAATATAAAGTCCAGCTTGGGTAGACCTGCATGCAAGTCATGTTTGGAACAAGATTTAGCCGTGGGCTTGTACCATGTTTTAGTACGACTGCCATCCCTTCCACTTCTTCTCCGATTTAAACTATTTGTCTTTGAGATCCTCATCGACCTGTTGGACAGGATGTAGGGTTGGCTTGAATTTCCCTCCTTCACATCCAGAACACCCTATCCATCCATCCATTATCTTTACCCGTTTATTCCATTTTGGGTCACGGGGGTCGCCGGTGCCCATGTCCAGCAATCACTGTGCGAGGGGCGGGGTACACCCTGGACGGGTTGCAAGTCCATCACAGGGCCACATAGAAACAAACAACCATTCACTCTCTCACTCACACCTAGGGACAATTTAGAGTTACCAATCAGCCTAACATGCATGTTTTTGGTCTGTGGGAGGAAACCGGAGTACCCGGAGGAAACCCACGCATGCATGGAAAGAACATGCAAACTCCACCCAGAAAGGCCCCTGGACTGGGGTTTGAACCAAGGACCTGCTCGCTGAGAGGCAGCAGCTCTACCATCCAGAACACTCACTATGTAAAAAAATATAAATTAAAATTAAAGTTACACAATATATACATAAAAGGCATCAACTACTTCCAAATGAAATGAACATTTGAAAATGTCTCAAATGCTCCGGACAATATTTGAGCCATTTATGTTTATTTAAAAACAAATATTCACATTGTTCTTGGGTTCACACATAAAAAATCCCCTGTACAAAAAGAACACCAATTCACCTCCAGACAGACGTGTGTATCATATTTGAGTATTAAAACAGCACATCTGAAGCAACCAAGATAAAAAAAAAAATACCAAAAATGGCTTTAAAATCCTTTTAGAAACATTACAGCAAAGGTTCTTGGTATTAGGTCTAAAATCACAGAGTAGGAGGAACATTTTATTCCTTTTTTTTTTCCACATCTAGGCACATAAACTAGTGGCTGCATTTAGATTTCCTGAAAATGCTCAGGTTCTGTTCAGAGTTTCAGTAATAACAAAATGAATACTGTAGTCTTGACCTCCCACAGAGTCTCTGTTTGGGTTACAGTACATCGATGAGCAAAATAAATGAAGGTTGGTTGAAGCAACCTTTAAAAACTAATAGGAAACATTGACAGCCAGCTAAATAACCATGCTACACAGAGGAAATAAATCACGTGGTTCTTCTTGAGAGTGAAAACAGAATCTCATTTTACATCAGAAGACCAAAGTGCAACAAAAAAAGCCCCCAGAGGTTCACCGTCCCTTTGGCCACAGTCCATTATTGGCATCTGTACAATTTAAGGTCCTCATGTTTGGGTAAAAATCCTTGTCTCACATTTCGCTCAGCTTGTGCATCCTTTGTGTGTGTTGGTGAGTGCCCTCTCAGTAAGGCAGAGAATACAGAGAAGAAAAAGAAATGTGATTTAAAAAGCATAGCAGATGAAAAGGCAAGTGTCTCAGTTGGCTCATGAGAGGAAGGAAGTCTTTTTTTTTTCCCCAGTCTCCTTTGCTTGGGACCTTAAGAAACAGCATGTCCCTTGATGTTCAGGTCATTGTTGACCAGGATGGGTTGCATCCAGTTTAGTCGTTTAGCCCTAGCGTACTTGTTCTCAAATATCCAGACCTCCACACAAACACAGAGCAGATATGGAGTCGAAATCATAAGTTCAGGAGAACAGCTGTGGCTAACTCAGGAGGAAGCACATGATTTGGCACGCTCCTCTCCTTTTCGGAGGATCTTGTGCAGGCCTGGAGATACGTAGTAGGGCCTGGAGGAAGATCCGTCATTCCTTTCCAGGTCTTCACCTTAAACCATGGTCCAGCACAGGAGTAAACAGAGCAGCGATAGAGAAGCAGAGGTGGAACGACAGCCAAGAGGAGAGAGCAATGCAAAATTTTATAAGTAAAAAAAAAAAAAAACAACATACAGGTTGAAACAAAAAATGAACAAATTATTAGCCTTTTTTTTAAGCAAAACTTGTAGGGAGACAGAGAATCAGCTGCGGAGTTACTTGGTTTTGAAAGTTTTAAAGAGTACTGAACACGAGTATAAAACATACTTACAAAAGCACAGGAAGAGTGTGTCCACACATGTGCCAAAGACATTGAAAAATCCATTTGCAATCATGTAAGATCCAACTGTCACCGTCTGAAAGAAAGAAAAAGTTTCAGTCAGCAAATACTTTTAAGGTCCTGCTACTGCCATCCATGTATTTTGTAGGGCAACAACATAACCACCAAATGACATGAATTTAGATTGATAAGTGTAGTGAACCAGGCCTCCGACCTCAACCTGTCTCTGAAGACCTTCAGGGGACAGGAACTGCTATTTCATTGATTTGAATCCAGAAATACAAATGATCTCATCAAGAGACTATTTAATTGTATCCTGAATTAATCAATTGAAAGAACACTCTTCCTTTTTACATTATCATTACTATTTTAAGATATCTTGATAATCCAAAGTGTGTTTAGTTCATACCATTTCTAAATGTTGAAGTGAACCACTCATTTAAATCAACTGTGAAACAGTATTAATGATTTTTAAACCTCATTAGACTTAGAAATCAAGTTAAATGTCTATTTACAAAGTAATTGTGCATTTTGATCTTCTGTCTGAATGAGAAGTCAGTGATGTCGGTCGAAAGTCAGAGACAAACAAAGACGAGTTATTAGAACGAAGTGTCTTGTTTTTAAACCTAGCAGACAGTAAATAAGACGATGGCACCTGCAAAGTTTCTCACTTCTTCAAAATATTTTTCTCTGTCTGTACTAACCGTTCGTAAACATTCCTGCTGTCTTTTTGACTTCTAGTGACCCTCTTGACATCACTAGAACCACCACCCTGCTGGTTGTTTCAACCAATCAGGAAATACCAAGTGACAGGAAGTGAGTACTCTTTAAAAAGTCAACAATTCCTGGGACTATTCAGTCTTCTTTCAGTCTTCCTCGAGTCTTCTTGGAGTCTTCTTTCAGTCTTCCTCTATGAAGTCTTCCCAGGAGTCTTCCACTTCTGAGTGGAATCTCTAACTGGAGTCTTACTGAGAGTTCCTAAGGAACTTTCAGATTTAATCAATAGCTGATGGATTTGACCATGAAACAAGGGTCCGTCCATTTAGCGGAGTCACGGCTCGCATCGCTGTGCACTCAACCAGAGCAGTAAATGCTCCACTTCTAAGGAAGCTTATTCGGTGTAACTAAGTATACACATTTATTCTAAAGATTCCCAGCTACTTTAACCAGAGACGCTGTAAAGGGATCATACTAATGGACTTCTGTTCCGGAGCGGAGGTATCCCCCATCTAAGGTAACAAAGTCTCTGCACGTCCTGAAGTGTACTGGAAAGCTGAGCGGGGTGTCGGAGGAAAGGTGCAAAGTTCTGGTTTCACACATAGCTTCCATCTAAACCTCCCTTTAAATCTTTAAATCTATGTCTTCTCTTAACTTTTCTATTTGCCAGTAACCTAGATGCCTTCAGAGGTGAATCAGCCTCAATCAGTAATGTTCTGTTGTCTTGTTAGTAAAGCGTGCCAAGTTTTTTGATTAGAAACAGATCAGCAAATTACTGTGTACATGTTTTGATGTTAAATTTTGATTCTGTTAAATAAATGACCACATTTATTCTGATGGGTCAAAGATAAAATGTTGTCTCATGTCACTGATTAAACAATCCACTCACAGTTATCTCGGTCACATGGCATTAATTTAACTCGAAAAAGAAAGAATCTGTTGTAATTAAACAATTAATATTCTTTGTGCTTGAACTAGCTTTAAGAATAATTAATTAGTAGTGTGGCTAACAGCAAAGCTGTCCTGACATCACTACATAAGAAATCACAAGAAAAACACATTAAGGTACAACATAACTCAACAAACAGTAAAGGTACATTTATGGTCAAATAAATGCTCCAGTAGTATTTTCTTTTTGCAGATGGGGTCTACTTGCAGCACTAAGATTAAACCAGATCTATAGAATGATATGTCACTAAACTAATGTAAAAATAAAAGCGTTGAGGGGAACTGTGCAGTAAGGAGTCACAATAAAATATTTTGTGTGATCATTCAGCAGTCTAAGTCAGAATACACAAGATGTAAACAGTCACTGTAGTGCAGCAAATAACTGAAGAATTCGTTCAGATGGCGACACAAGCATAAAATTTGGAGCGCTTTATTCAGATTCTGCTTATCAGGAAAATGCTGTGCAAAAATTCTAAATGGTGACCATTTTTCAAGATGGCTGTCATGTCACACTGAGGTTCATTGTCCATTGCAGATTATGTGTAGCTGAGTAAACAGTCTAAAGACCAGACCTAGGTTTTTGGCCTCAAGAAATGCATTCAAGAGGTCACAGTCCAAAAATGCTGTGATATGGACCATAAAAAAGGTGGCGCCCAAGATGGCTGCCAGAAAAACATAATTTTGTTCCATCTCAGGAATTAACAGACATAGATGTGGTTTTGATTCCTAATTCAACATGATATTACTTTGGCCATACCTACTGTGATACTGACCATGAGAAAGATGGTGTCCAAGACAGCCACCACAAAATACACATTTTTACTTAGTAGTTTGCATAATTGCATATTGCCTACAAAAGAATGAGACACAAAAATGAAATATTAAAAAAGCATCCTGAAAAGATGTAGACGTCACCTTTGCAGTTACTCAGTGCTGTACATGTGAGATCCAATTTGTAACACTTGCACCTGCCAGGGCAGCCTGATTTACAGCTGCATTTGGCCAGCTGTTGGCAACTCCTGGCTATAGGGGAGTTGGCTGTCCAGAAGACCTGCCATTCTTCACCAACCTTCTGTCATCCATAGCCAGCAGGGCTCTCTGCTTCTGACTGACACTGGATTGCCTGGGCCCACACATAACTAGCCTGGTAGGCAACACATCTGGTGTGTTGGAGCAGGGCTGCTCTGGATGGTGGAATTGCCTCTTAAGGACTTTGTTTTCTGGCAAACATGTCAAACCTGGCCTCGTCCACAGTGGCAGCAGTGCTGGACCTGTCATACATCCGTATGACAAACTTTTCCAGGATCTCAATGTCGCAATCCTCCACTGTGAGAGGATACTGGCTCAGTTTGGAGAAGACAAGAGAGGTGTCTGGACAAATGTCCCATGTTTGCCAGGCAGTTTTCTTGTCCTTGTAGTGAAAGACTGACACAGTGTCACAGCATGTGAAGGCATGAAAGAATAACACACTTTGACCTTCTCCTGGCCCATAGAATGAGACAGGTCATGCACAGTAATGCAGTCTTGGACACAGCTAATGCAGGCTCTGACCTTGGTCAAATGCCCCCCATAACCGTTCTAGCCCTAAACTCTGAAGGATGGGGAAGGCACTGAGTACAATGACAACATCTGTGTCATTTGCTTTCACCATGATGGTTTTGCTCCCATGTTCTACAACATACAGTATTTGGCATGCACAAAGCTGCAGCTGTTAGCTTCCTCATGAGAGCACTTGTCCAGTCTCTGAAGACCAGCTTCATCACTGCTGAGGACAGCAGGCCCCTTTTGTGACAATGAAAAAATTTGATGCAGACATTTGGGCAAGACTGACTGCAAGGAGCTGGAACAACTCTGGATCCATGATCAATGGCATTTCATGGATTTCGCTGAATGCAGGAATGTTCCTTGCCTGCACTGTGTAACCATCATGTTCTGGGACATGATAACTTGGAGGTGATGTCAAACCTTCACCTCTTTTGGCATTCTGACAGACAACACAAACTCCAGTTAGTTTTCCTGTTGGACAATATTGGATTGACATCTGTCATTTCCTTTTTTGCTAAAGGCAGAGGGGCTACCCTTTACCACCTTAAACAAATGCACACATTCTTGTAGGGGATACAACTAGGTTGGGTAATCTACACCTAGTCTGATCATTCATCCAGTGCCACTTTAGTCCCATGTGATATGGACACCATCCAGGTAAGTACATAAAGCACTTCATGTATAGCCCCCCTTACCCTTGGCTTGGCTCTCCTGCGCTGGCACGCCCTGTCAATTCATGTGCAGCTATCTACTTATGTCTATCTAATAACCAGTAACTACTGTTTTCTAGCTAACTGATATGGGGCTGTTGGAAAGCATTTGGGACACTGAAATAAACTATACTACAACAACTACTAGTCTAACACAGTATTAGTAAAGCTACATCAGCTGACACAGAACCCCATGCTGAGTTACACAGCAGTGATGCCACCAGTGTGCCCTGGTTGTATGCAGACATGCACTCTTTGAAACTTGTAAGTTTCATCACCTTTCTAATTTTAGCCTGACAAAGGTAATAATGGCTTCATTGGAATCTACAACCACAGAAACACCCAAAAGTTATATCTTTATGTCAAACAGCCTCAGAAATATCATTTCAATTCTGCTGTGGCCACTTTGGATGCCATCTTGCTCATTAGATTACATTATTATGGTAACAAAAATAAGATTCTTCATGAAATGTGCTTTTAAGATGACAAAAATTCTCTCAGAAGCATTTATATGCTTAGATACCCTTAGGCTAGACAGTGACTGGCCACCTTCTTGAAAAATGCCCACAATCTTTTTTTGTGTGGCCAAAGCTCTTTTCTGAAGGAGATGGTTTTGAAGAGTATCTGTGCCACATTTCATACTTGTGTCACTACTTGAACTATTATGAAATATGGGATTATCTGCTCCACTACTGCTGTTCCTCACAGATTAAAGTTCATTGAACTTCTTACCACAAGGGGGACCCAAATGTAATTAAGTGTTGGCACCTCTTCTTGAAAAATAGGTAGTTTTCGTGAAAAGAAGTAAGAGGCAAGGAAACCTGGAAAAAAAAAAGGTGCAAAATGTACTTATTTACAAGTTTTACCCTTTCAAATAGTTTGAAAGAAGCAACCACAATTGCTAAAGATGACTGTGCATGTTTAAAATAGTAAGAAATTAATTAATGTACTCAAGCAAATTGCAAAGCATCAGTGGTTGGAGAAAGTAATAAACTGCATTTTTAAATTATTTTGGCGGCGTACTAAAACAGAAGAAATTAGATTCATGCTTAAACAAAGCACTCAAACTAAATAATAAAGTAAATTTACAGCAGACAACTTTTCTACAAAAACATTTATCTTCAAATGGCAAAAACAGAATGAAAATTTGGAAGGAGATTACAACACGTCGCTACAAACATACCGGCACCTCCTGCAATGAGCAGTTTCCCCATGAACAACAGGAACCATGTGACACAGTCCAACACAGCCACCCTTTAGAGGAGGAGGAAAAAATGCAAAATACACCGTCATCCACTATGACACAGGCTGAAGAGAGTTTAAGATGACGATTATTTCTATAATACTGAGGTTGGTTTATGTTTTAAAAATACATCTTCTGGTCATATTTATTATTGTTTTACAAATGTGCTTATTTCCTGCCAAAATCTGACATTTTACCAAATTTATACAACTAAAAACATTTATTATCACTGTTTCAAATAAACTGTGATTAAGTGGACATGGGGATAAATAAATACGAGTCATACCGCACAATGTTCCTCATCAAGAGAGAAAATGCATCCTTGGAAGATTTGCAAAAGTTCTTTCCATATATTGCTATCTGTTGGTGAAAAGAAGGTTAGTTTGGGTACTGCAGCTCAAGGTGAATGAACTTGTATCTCTAATTCCTACAAGACAGTCATTAGTACAGCAGGACTAACCCACCATAATGTACGCATTTTTGTTCAGAAACTTGATGAAACGTTCCAGGCACCAGAAGCAGCACTTGAAGCAGCAAAGCAAGAATCGAGCCACAGCATTTTGAGAACCTGGCAAAAATAACAAAAATCATCAAGATTTTATTTTAAATCATATTTCTTTTTATTTTGACAAAGTAAGAACGTGAGTGTGTCAGAGTCACAACTTACCTATCAGTTTACGATCCAGGTACATGAGGACAACTCGGACTATCTGCACCCAAGCAAGGATCAGAGACCCGAACGCCAGAGAACCTGTGTGATAACTGACACGCAGGATAATTTAATATCACGTCTAATCTTTCAACTTTGTAAAATAATAATAGATTTTTAAAAATCTTACAACCAAAGCGATCTGGTAGAAAATCACTTTGCTAATTCTACTTTGTATAAAACCGTTTAGATGCTTATTTAAAGAAGTTACTTTGATTCTGTTATGAGACAATCTTTATTCATCGCTGATTTATTTATTTTACCTTTTAATTTAGGCATTTACCATATTTTTCAGACTATAAGGCGCACTTTTAATTTTCTCAAAAATCAACAGTGAGCCTTATAATCTGGTGCACTTTATGAATTAATTCTGGTTATGCTTACAGACCTTGAACCAATTTTTTGTGATACATGGCACTCAAAAATCTGTCAAAATGTTTTCATTTCGTTTAAAATACGGTACTTTAAAAACCTGTTACACCAAAACCTAAGCTTCCTCATGCTCTAAATGGCCATGGAAACAACCCCCCTGAATGTTGAATTCATTAAAATAAGTCAGAACCTCACCGTATGGCTCTGCTGAATGAGGAGTACAGGGGGCAGGGAGGGATGTCCTTTGGCTTCTTCAGGGCCCAGTAGTAGGAGGCGAAGGCCCCTGCCAGGGTGCACTGGCCCAACGCGAAGATAAAATTGACCAGCCACAGGACCACAAACAGGTTACACAGATGGAGGACTAGGATGTAGTGGTGGTACACACTCTCCCCACCGTAGAAAGCAAACAGACACTGAGCTCCGGGACAAACTTTGGTAACATTGGTTTGACTGAAGGTCTGAAAGAAGCAAAAAGAGACCGTGACTATTTTTCTTTAGTTTCTGTCATTACTCCTGTGTGAAACTTGCTTTGGTTAAAAAAATGCCATGAGATCATAATTACTGTGTGACCTTGTTGTATACAAATTATTTTAGATGCACACATCAGCTTAAATAAACCCTGCTGACCACTAACTGCAATTTATTTACAATGATACATCTTGTACTAATAAGCAAGAGAAGATACATTTCATATTTAAATACACATATATATATTTAAATCTAAACAGTACAGTTCAATCTTAACACCCATATTTCACAAAGACAAGCATGTTATTGTGCCTGAAATAGTGTGAGGCTAACCTTTGGACTGCATGTGAGGTTTGCATACATGCACTGATCATCAGCGGGCATCACCTTGTAGACCGCCTTACCTGAAGATGCCAAGAAGCTGAGTGCACACTAGTTAAGGCCAGAACAAAGGGTATAATGCCACAATCTGATCTTTGGCACAACTAGCATAGACTGCAGAGAGCATCACAACTCAACATCAGCATCTCATGAGCAAGAAGGATACACTGCTGTGACAGCAGAGTAAGACACACAGATGGCCAGAAGTAGAAAGGTGATGAGAGGGTAGAAGAGTGTGGACATGATGTGACTGATGGCCCTAGAAAAAGGACGAAACATACGCTTGAAAAGGTCAAATATGCAAGAAATGAATAGACGTTTGACCCACACTAACCTGCTTCCCTCCTTCAGTAGTGTAATAGCGATGCTTAGCCTCGTTGCTAAAAACATCATCAGAACCACAATGACGGCCTCCACCACACAGAGAAAGATTACTGCAAAACAAAAAAGAAAAAGGTAGTTATTACTTTTCATTATCACGTTTATTCTGTGAGAACAAACACAGGCAGTGACGGATGTGAACTAGCAGAGTGAGGACTAAAAATTAGGCACAACCCACAGACATCTTTTAAAAGCTGAAGGTAATATAAAACGGTGTTCATATGAAGGGCGGTGGTCGATGACAACGTACTGAAGATGAGCCACGTCTGACTGTTCCCAAGATAAATGCTGAGATCTCTTTGGAAGCCAATTTCAGAGATGGAGACGTTGGAGTTTGGCTTCTTGCTCAGAGTGGTGTACTCCCAGTAACAGTGCCAGACACCTGAGAGAAGCAGAGGACAGAACAATGATGACTGTTTATCAGAGCAGAACCGCTCAAAGAAAAACTGTCAAGCAAGTCCCATATCCAACATGTGCATGAGAGGTAGCCACTGGTGAGGTGAGCAGGTTTGTGTGCACTCACCGTAGCCAACAGCAGAGACAACGCCGATAATGACGAGCCACACTATCAAACCAGCAATGTAGCGCAGCAAAAGGATGAAGAGCAGACTGAGCACCATAGTTATGGACAGACCTCTGCAACAACAAGGAAACATCTCACTACATGAGCAAGAGAGCGAACAACTCTTAAATACCATTTTTTCAGACTATAAGGCACTTAAAATCCTTTAATTTTCTCAAAAATCGACAGTGAGCTTTATAATCCAGTGCACCTTACGTATTAATTCTGGTTGTGCTTACTGACCTCAAATGGATTTTGTGGTACACGGCACTCAAAAATCTGTCAAAACATTTTAGTGTCACTTAATGCGCTTTATAATCCGGTGCACCTTATAGTCCGAAAAATACGGTATGAGCTTACTTACTAAAACAAACCAGTGTTTAATAGGTCAAACCAGGATATATAGAAACAATTTGTATCCAAACATGAACAAAATAATTATTATATCCTTGTTTTTGTTTTCTTCACTGATGGATCAGATACATTTCTGTACCCACAGGAGCAGCACATATTTCATGCTAAGACTCTAATTATAAAAATAGCCATAATCCACACAGCCATGCTTACACAAGGATCCATATCCAGGAGTTTGCAAAATCCTCAAAGATCTTCATGCCAACTTCTTTGGCATTCAGCAGACTAGAGACACTTCTGTGATGAGACAGGAAAAAAGGGAGGGACGAAACAATAAATAAAGATTTATTAAGGCAAAAAGGAGCATCAAATGTTTGGCTCAATAAAATGGATACAACACATCATGAACCCATCTTTGTGAGGACCATTACTACATTATAGAGACAAACGCTGGACAGCTTTATAAAGTAAAAGTCAAATTTTGAAATCCAAACACTAGTTAGTATTAAAACATCAGTTGTTTCACTGAAAGATTAAATTTATTAACAACTAATGTGTGCAAAACTGCTCGACAGTAAAAACTGCTACACTTAAACTGTCCTAAAAACCCTCAAACCAAGAGTCCCAACACCGTTAACTCTACACCAGTTCACAAGATTGAGAATTAATTTAAATAAATGTTTACAATACAGACAAAGTAGGCATAATAAAAACATCATGCCACTATGGGATGAAATCAGAATTACAAGTTCTGAAAACAGATTTAACAAAGTTTGATTTTGGTCCCGAAAAGTGACTAAAAAGTTGATCATCAATAATCATAGTAGATTTATGGACCACTAGGGGGCACCACATTCCTTTCAATGTTTTAGGCTAAAAGTAGAGAATGATTTACAAACAGCAGGTCACAAATATTTACCTTTATATATTCTAACTTTCAATTATTGATACAAGTGATAAATTGTAGGTGTGGATCAACAAAGATGATTAGACTTCTAACAGTTACTTTAGCAGCATTAGCGTCGTACCTACATCCAACAGTTGATGTTTTATACTAATTGATACAGATTACTTTGCATCCATGCACTTACGATTTGCACATATTACTATTTATGTACAACCCTACATGCCCAACACATATTGACCAGCCCCTGAAGCACCAGATCCACCTGACCCTGCACATGTCCAAGCTGTAAAACACACTCTGGATTTCCAGGTGTACTGAATCAAATGCTGCTTGTAAGAAATACAGAGAAAGCACAACCTAGACTGCTTGTGTTTTTAGGGAGAAAAATAATGATATTGAAGCTTCAAAGTATCTTAAAAGTCAAATGGCTGACTTGAACAGAAATTAATTTCAGAACTACTTCTGTTTTGAGGTGCGATGTTTTTCAGAAAACATTTGGAGCTACAACCTCAAAAGTCCAAGTCTAACTATAATTGCAATAAAAATGTCCAGACTTTTGTAGGAGAGCTAGCATGTCTACAGATAGTTTCAAACCGTACCTACAGCATGTACGCGACTTCTCTTAATGTTTTATGAATGAGATAAAAATTGAGGCAAAAAGCCAGGCTGCTTGGAAGCACGTCTTACTTGGCGGCATCGCTGAGGTCGTTGACACTTCTTTTGTTATTGTCTCCATCTTTAAAGGTGGTCTGATTGGCGACGCGTAAAATTCCATCTCTTGTGTTGAAATCGGGGAAGCACCGCTGAAGGACTAAAACGCATTGTAAAGATTTTTTGGGTGCACTTACTCGCCTGGAAAAACATAGTAAATGTTGTTAATTTTGTGCTTACACAGTCTGCTCGGCACAATCATGGAGGGGCAGTCTTCATCACGGATGACGTCTGCAACTGTCTGAAAGGGAACGGAAGAAACAATCTGCAAACGTCTGAAAACTATTGACCATTCACATATCAAACAAAGTTTTTTCTAAATCTGACATGTATATAATAATAGTAATAATAATAACAATAGTAGTAGTAATAATAATTATATTAGTAATAATAATGAATACAAATGCAAATGCTAACAACACCTGAAGGACACACTGGACAGTTCGGTAAAATTCAGTTTAATATCACATTATGGAAAAAAATCAACAACTATGATTCACTTCAACCAGTGACTGAGCTGCAACTTGCTCCCACACAACACTTCACTTTGAATCTTGCACAGCATCATGCTAACGTCATTAGCGCTGAGCTGATGCCAGCCATCAGAACACAGATTACGTGTGCATTAATGATGTTAACTCACTTCTACTTGTTTCTCTAAGCACGCATAAATAAGCTCTTTATAACTTTGGCTGTGGACTTAAAATTGATCAAATTTCCAATATATATATA